AAAAAAAAATGGAGAAAGGAAAACGCGTTTGTTCGATCTTGCCAGACACACGCAGACCAATCGATGACAGTGTACGTTTATCAACTCGAACTCAACAAAGTTTTTTTTTTCGGTCCACGACGAACGTTCCAAGAACGCACCTCGAATTATGCAGAACGAAGGATTTGAGTGGTGAAGGTTTTGACAAATTCTCAGCCGTACGACGCAGGTATTACTTCGACAGCACGCACACGAAAGATTGCGCCTAGTCGCGAATATTCGTAAATATATACATGTACATAATAATTGCTTCTCTGACGAGTAAACCGAAGAAACGTGGTATATATACATACTATATACATATATGCATATACGAATCATTAAACAAAAGCTTATTCCTCTTAACTGGTAAAACTATACGTACATCTACACACACACACACACACACACACACACACACATATACAAACATCATGTATGTCGCCTGATTCGAAATCATTGGCGGATATCATATTTTTCGACTATTGTATAGCCGTTTTTTCGTCGGTGACAAACAAAAGAAAACGAAAAAAAGAAAAAAAAAGGAAGAAGAAAAAAAGAAAGAACGGGAGAAGAAAGAAACGTCGAGTCGCTCGCGAAAGCAAGAATTCGGAAGATCGCGCTTGGGTACTTTGGAGTCTTCTCGATTTGCCGAGCAAACGTTCGTGATCAATCGTGATCAATCCAGCCATTGAAGAGATCACCAAGTTAGGCCAAGAAACGAAAGAGAAAGCAGGATGGCACGGTGACGCTTGAAGATGTAAAACAGCCACGATCACAGTTGGTGACCACGATTTCGCGGCGATCGTCGCAGCCAGTTCAGTTCGTCGAACGAACAAAACTTTCTTCGGCTCGATGCTTACGTTTTACGAAACTCGTCTTACGTTCTCGTTTCGTTCATGTTCGACAGCTGTGCACGCTCGCTATCGTTAGGACTTACTTCGAGGTTCCGTGCGTACGTAGGCCGCATGCAAAACTGTAGATCCTTCCGGTACAGCGTTCCTCGCGTCGTACCGGCCTTCCCTGACGAGCTCCTAACCGTTTGTCCTATTTACGGGACGGGAGAAGAAGCGTGTCGCGTTAGACACGGACCACGGCCACGAGAAGCGGATGGCGCGACATTCAACCGGGAAGAGGAAGCGAGGTGAAGAGAACACGAAAGAACGGGAAGTCTCGATCTGTGTGGATTTTTTCGCGGATAGATATTACCATATTTTCCGAGAGTTACGAAAGGACGTTGTTACTGTAAAGATATGTAAGTTTATTTATCGCTAATAAAAATGAACGTTTAAGAAAAATCGCGCGGCTACTGTTTTCACGCGAATTACACGAATACCCAACTTTTGTTTATCTTGTTCCTTATATGGATATCCCTCTCTTTCTTTTTTTT